CAGAAGCTTGTTCACACTGCTTAAACTAGTACTGTACTGTAATGGGTGACATATAGTTGTTCTGACCACTTATTTGTCCCTTTCCTTACAAGTCAACATGTCTGGAAAAAGGTCCCTCAGTGGTAATGACGGTGGAAGCGCCTAATGAGAATAGATCCAGTTTTTACGAAGTTGTTTTATACAAAGGCTACCTGTACTTAACATTATTCCCTAAATGATTTCAAACTCTAATGGCTGCTACCCATTATGTTCCTCTATCATGCAACACCTCTATCTAAATTTTAACCCATTCTTTACATCATGCAATGTAATATATTTATGTAGAATACAAGATCAAGCTTTTATTAAAGAAGGAAGATTTTTTATAAAATAATTTATCTACTGTATGTCAATTAAAATACATAATCATTACTTTACAAAAGAGAAACTTTTTCCTCCTCACAGGAATAGATCTGGTTAAGACCTACAGAATGTCTCATATATACCCACTGCTCATGACTGGATGAAGTGCCCATAAATTTTTTTTTTTATTTCTGCTACAAAATGATGTCACAACTTAACAACTTATGCAGTTGCCAGATTGATGGATGAAGATTTCTTAATTATAAAACATACCAACAATTGGAAATAGCATTAAATTTTCTTATTTCAATTACTATTTGTACAGTATTTATGTTGAATATGTGCATCTGAATTCTGAGAATGAAAAAAAAAAAAGTACCCAGTACATGCAGTAATATTAAGAGGGACTGCAATTTTTAACATGACTCGCCATTAAACCATTGCCTTGACCTATGGTAAGCCTTAAAGTGAGCCATTACCACAAAAATACTAAAAATGACAAACATAATAGAACTGAAAATGTAAATATAGACCACACACACCCCCCAGAAACAATGCCAACAGACTGCTTTCTGCCATACAACCTTAACATCCTCTCTTATTTACAATATTCTGACTTCACTACAGCCTTAACATTCAATGCACTAAAAATTGTTTTGACAAAAGATAAGAGATTATAAATATGCAAAAGTTTAGTCAAACTCTTGAGTACAGCTGATAAGCTGAAATACAGTACTACTAAACACTGCACAAAGAGCATGTACAATATATTATTTGACTTTATACATGAGAGAGAGAAAAAAGAGAATGCAAGAGCTAAACTATGTGGTTATTGTTCTCAACAGCACTGTGGTGTATCGTACAATACTCCAAGCTTTTAAAATGTACAAAAGCAAGAGCATGGCAGAAAAAATTAGTTATTACTAGAAATACCCTTAATAAGAAAGAAAATGGATATGTAATATAGGCTGTGGACACTGTGAGAACTGATGAAACGAGTGAATGACTGTTTAGGTTTAGTTAGATGTGATATTTAAAGGAAACATTGACAAAGCATGAGGGAAAAGGTGGCACAAACATGTAGAGTGAATGGAGGTCAAGTGAATGAGCTTGTGTTTGTGAATGAACTGAGTATTTGTGAAGTAGCTGTGGGAAATGAAACAAAATTTATTATGGAATTACCTAAAGAAGAGGTGAACAGGGAAAGAGGAACCTGAAAAAGTGTGTCATAATGATAATAGTACCCTGTATAGTGAATACTGTAGTTTGATGCAAGTCCTCCTCTTCTATAACAGGTGTAGCACAGACAAACAGATAAAACCAGAGTTAATAACCTGTTATAATGGTAAGTCTAAAGAGTCAGCAACAGTTAATGAGAGTTACTTGTTATGGAAAATTTCCCATCATCTTGTTCACTATTCCCATAAAGTATAGGTGAATAATTTCATAAATACATATATAAACCCTGATATTCTTTACCCTGGATCACTTATGTTTATGTCACAAAGAAATCCTCACAGATTCACCAGTGTAGATACAAGTAAAGGCACCTGCAGTGTCTCTGTCCTTCAGTTTAAAGCACAAAGTAGCCCATATATGAAAACATTAAAAAAGTAAAGAATCACATATTAAAGCCCAATAAATTGTATAAGTTTCCATCTACCCTTTGAGTTACAAGGGATGAAATGGCACACCACAAATGCAGTGTACAGTAGTGTATTTTCATGTTTCAAATTACTGTACTAAGCAGCAAAATTTCCACAGGATAATAATAACTACAGTAGTGAAGATAATAAGCAAAGCTTTCTACCTAGAACACACTGGTATAAGCAAGAAACCTCTTCTAAGCACCTTAGTTCTTACTACTATACAATGTGTCACACTGTATACTGAATGAACAGATTTATTACTTATACAAAATCTATTGTCTTATGTCTTTTGAGTTTTTGTCAAGAAACAAAAGTTGCATTGTACTGTATATGCATGTGACAGTTACCATCTCAACACAGACAAAGGAATAATCTTGGATTACACTTCATATAATTTCTAATTAGAACTTATGATCCAAGATCATTCATTTTAGTACAGTCCTCCAGACATGGTCAAGGTATATTTGTCTAACTTCTTGGAAGAAAAAGACCGAGAAGCACAAAAATATATATATTTTTTTCAACTCTTTCATAAGTAACCAATACATAGTTATTTACAATATCTTTTACCTCAACAAAGGACAGTCAATATGTACATATTAGTATTCATTATCCCTTGTTCCTGGTATGTTTCTTAAATGCACAGTACTGTACTTGTAAATGGATTTGGATGAAACACTATAAATCTGCATCAGGCCTACAGTACAGTAATCACATCCTTGCAAAAAGTCCCTCACCACTCATAGCTCAGTTTCACATGTTGTCCAGACCCAAGATTAAATGCTTATCAACTTATTACAAGGATTGCAAATTTATTAGCCATTACAGGTACACTGATTTGTGAAATAAACTGATGCAAATAAGAAATACTGTACTGCATTCACTGACTCATGCAAGATAATGCTCCCTCCCCAGGCGCTTATGATCGCTGTATGATGATGCTTTTATTTAATTTTATACTGTACACTACATGATATGTCAACATTTCAAAAAGATTACTGTACATACATACTTTTTTTAATTCTGAAAAACTGTCTATACAGTATACACATACTGTACTGGGTAGTCATTCAAAGAAGGACAAAACCAACTAACTTTGAACTCTTAAAATACAAAGATGAAGAAGCACAGAAAAAGCTCTAGATTAACGAACACAATACAGGTAAAGGGAAAATTCAGAGCTAATACCCGAGTACCTTTATCAAGACACTACAAGTCAACCATGATGCCAGCAAAGGAGATATAATGATATAGGAATCACTACCAGAGTTACTTAGCTTTTACTAATCATGTTTGAACTTTTCTGACCCTGTTGTAATACTTTACATGCAATTTCTCACCCAAAATTTTCATGTTTAATAGAGTAACACTAGTAGTAAAAAGTCACACAAAAATTAGAATTTTGGTGCTTTCTTATCTGTGATAATGCAACTGAATTAAAATTAAATACTGATAGGAGTTCTTGTCTTGCAATGGCACTATTCATGAAGAACCTCATAACATTCAATATCCACTACATCACTACAGACAAGCAGGTGATAATTTTCCAGCAAAAAATAAAAAATAAAAATAAAATAAAAAATAAATAAAATATAAATAAACTGATTAGAAAAATTATAATGGTTTTGGGTGTGTGGTTTTTTTGTTTTGTTTTTTGGATCATTATAAACAAATTTTTTGCAATACATTTTGATATGTTTAATCTGGTAAGTATATCTTTGTCCATATATGAATTCAAATATTCTGGTCTTACAAGAATCAGCAATTCAATTATATTTTTTTGTTGGTTTTTTAAATTTAGTTTATACACATTCTTGGGTGGTGGGGGCACACGACCATCTTTACCGTGAATTTTAACTGAAGATATTTGTTTAGCTCATAAAATCATACATTCCGGTCAGAATATAATTTACATTGCTGAATTTTATAATTTGGATCATTTTGAATATAAACAACATATTTTGCATTAAACATACAATTTTAGATAAAATGTTTAATCTGAGTAAGTATGTTATTTTTGTCCAAAATATATGACATTTATACAAAATATTCCTGGTCTTACAAGGAATCAGAATGTCAATTATATTATCCTAACTTTAATCTGAGGTATTATTTATTACTAAATGTTAAAAACTCTTGAATGGAGGATTGGTGGGGGTGGGGGAGGTTGGGACTGACCACGCGTTGGAAGGGAGGCAAGGTGGGTACTTGATTGACAGATAGTGTGAAGAATATATATTTTTTTTATTAACTGTAGATATTTGTTTTAGCTCATAAAATTCATACAAATTATCCGCCAGAATATAATTTACATTGCTGGAATTCTTATAATTTGGTGATCATTTTGAATATAAAACATATTTTTGATTAAACATACAATTTTAGATAAAATGTTTAATCTGAGTAAGTATGTATCTTTTGTGAAAAATATATGACATTTATATCAAAATATTCCTGGTCTTAAGGAATCCCAATGTCAATTATATTTCTAACTTTAGTTTGAGGTTATCCCATCTCCTTGGGAGTTGGTGGGGGGGGGAGGAGGACGCTGACCATCTGTTGCTCTTGTCTGTAGTGGAGAGGAGGAGTTGGTCCATTATTTGAATGGACATTAATTGGCGACTGTATTTCTTTAAGTATTAATTGTGTGCATGTCATCATAAATTAAGATGTTATTTTACTACAACATAGTATTTGTCGCAAAAGTGAGTTTGGGGGTGGGTGGTTATTATAATCCTATGTTCTGTTATTCATTACGTTAACGACTTGGGTTCAATTGGTTCATTGAGTTAATTATATTTTAATTACTGTATACAGTAATGTACTGTATATGACAAATGGAAAAGATAACAATATGCCATGGTAAAAAAGACATGAATTTGCATATACTGTACTGTATTTAAATAAACACATATTAATATGTTTAAATGCATCAATAACTACAGAAGGCTTGTGACTTCATAGGACTGAAAACACATTTCCATTTAAAAGAAAATCATTTGAACTTACCTAATTCAAATTTCCACAACTTATTTGGTCCAATTTCCGCAACATAGACATCAAATCCGTCAACAGAGGCAACAACATCATGGGGTTGACTCAATCCCTGAAAATAATAATTTCAAAACTTCACTGCAAACAATTCTATATTACCGTAATTGACTACTGAACAACATTTCAATATGACTAAGTGAGTGGTAAACTACATAGGAATGGTAACATTAAAGTGAATGATGATCTGTCAATTTATGTATTTACTTATCATTATTATTATTCTACCATTTGTGTGTTAGAAGCATCAAAAGGTACACAGCATTAAAAGAAAGGACAGAATTTTAGTAAGGACATGTGTACAAAATTACAGGAAAGTGATAGCCCACCAAGCTGAAATATCTGCACAAATATTTATTTATATCCAATACTGTACTTGTGTACACAGCATACAAAGTTAATCTTTTGCATCCTAATTCAACCACAACACTTATGACAATTAACTGTACTTACTCAGTTAGTGGATTCATTTTTTCACCACAGCCTGTGTACTACTGGATCTACAGTATATACTGTACCACACATAATAGAAAATATCAACAGTGCCAATAACTTTATCACTTGAATTACAGCACCTACCCAAAATTAAAAAATAAATAAACGAGATTACTTTAGATTTATGTAAACTTTGTGTGCTGTCACAATTCATTTCCAACAGTCTGTTGGCTAATATCTTTAAATTTGAACTTGCTAACCACCAATCATCTTTTTATCTTGTCACTTCTGCATAAACGAAATACAGTGATATCCCTGTTAGCCGGAACAATTGGTGCAGAGCACTTCCAGGGATGAGAGATTTCCTGCTAACCAGACGACTTTCTCAAACCCGGAAATATTCCTTGTCCCTGGAATATTTTCCAGTTACTGTGAAAAGTTTCTGAGTATCTAAACTAGATATCTTGCACACACAGACACTAACCCACTACCCCAGAATGTTTCTGGGTGCTGGGGATGTTTTCCTTGAGTCTAAACTGCCGGAGTCCATAAATGCAGTTCTAATTAAATTTAGAAACTCCATTTCTTTACTATAATAATTCAGAATAGTTTATCTTAAAGTTTGGTCATATAAATATATTTTAAAATAAAAAATCTATACGATATGGGCGTGAATAAAACTGTGTTACAGCAAAGACTGGCATTTTCCACTCCCATGGAGATGTGGGGAATTAGTGGTCTCATATTACTGACCTTCTGATGGAATGTCAGGTCACCCTTTCTTGGCCTGGGGATTAGTGGGTCTCATGACCTGAAGATGTCTTGAATAAGCACAAAACCTAAAGTATTTTTAGAGAGATTGTGATAAGTATAAGTATAAATGGAGTGAGAAAGCAGAAAGGCGTGGGTAATTAGAGAGATGGAGTGGATATGAGTGTTGCCAAGCACTCCTCAACAGCTGATATTTAACTCAGTCACACACGCAAATTTGTCACACAATAAGACCCTCACTCCTTTTGTCTGCTGTCTTAACTCCCTTGTTTAAAAAAAAAAAAAAAAAAAAAGAGAGAGAGTGTGTGTGTGTTGGTGTGATGTTGGCTGAAGAGTGTGGGAGTCGAACCCCCTTCCTCACTCAAGTGTGGCTAATTGTGATAGGGAGATGAATTTGATACCATTATGATCCCTAATAAATTCTCTACGAAATGTTTCCAATGAGATATCCTTAAACAAAATATTTCTTTGTGATATAGTGATGGGAAGTCCATTACTTTTTTATTTTTATTATTATTTTTGATAAAATAACCCTGAAGACTTAAACTAAAAGTTTGGTTAAATAAATATATATTAAAAAAAGCTCTATATGATACAGTACGGGCATTTACAGAAATGTTTCTTTAATCTTCACCTCTGATCGGTTCGTTACTCACTTGGATGATCGTCACGTCTCTGTTACACACTTCACTCAATTGACTGTAATACATAACTAATCATGTCTTAACATTTGCGATGAAGGTTGGGTGGGAGATTAATGGGTCACATTACTAACCTGACCTGATGCAATGTCAGGTCACCCATTGTTGGGTGGGGGATTAGTGGGTCTTATGACCTGAATATGTCTTGAATGACATTATTTTTTACCTATGAGGTATATACATACTACTGTACTATACTGTATTGTATATGAAGGGTACATGTATTAGTAAGCACAGATTATTACAGTAACGTATCTGTGCTAATTAATGAAAACAAATAAACAATATTGTATCATGAAGAGTCAGTACAGTAAACAAACTGTGAGACGACCCTTGTGGGAGGGGGCGGAACGGTCGCTTTTAACCCCCCACGGAGGATAGATTAACGCTTATAAAATGTCACTGACTTGACTTGCTGGAATTCTTGTAAGGTAGCGATTAATTTGAGTATAAACATCACTAATTTTGCACCACAAACACACACACACATACATACACACCAGCGGCAAATCCTGACTTAAGATCTTGAGCATGCTCTCTATTTTTTAGAGTAGGGGGGGGGGGGTGTTGCTGTACCTAGGTGGTTTAACATTAAATACTATTTTGATATAATATGATAATAAAAGCTTATTTGAGCCAGTCAACCAATGCGTGCTTTCATACAGCGTAATATTAAAATGCCTAACATATTTTTTGTTTTTATCTGTATGCTTCTTTGCAAGTCCTGGAATTCGCGGACATGGTCTACGTGTAATGGGCTCCTGTCTCATCAACAGAACATATTATATAAATGGGTCAATACATCTGATATTATATTCAGATTCACCCCTTGTAACTTTCCACTGTCTATGAGTAAGACATGAGTTGTACACGTGAGAGGGCAACTCTCCCAATAGGGTAGAGGCCCATCGTCAGCATATCTGTAAGCCCGCACAGCGAGGCCCTTACTCGAGTAGTCGCTCACAGCAAGTTATATCGTAAGGATGTAACCTAATGTTTATAATACATAAACGCCGTCCCTTTCTCATTCACTCATATACAATGGATCTTACGGTCGATCTACACTCAGGAATTATAGCTACAATCCTTTTATAATAAAACAAGGAACTACAGTTTGGGTTTCGTTACTTAAACCCAAATAATAAATATATGTGAACGGCGTGGTTAATTGTACAATCCAGCCGATTTATACGTTTTCCTACGATTTCAATTTTCTCTGAAATGTTTCTTCTCGAAAACGGCTTTTCCAGCAGTTCCTTAACTAAACAAGTGTCCTCTTCTACCACAGTTTCCATCACAAGTAGAATATTTATAACACTATAAGTCTATAACACTCGGGTAGCAGAAGCACCACAACACACGAGCGGAAGAATGTTTACAACACGCACGACCCACACGGACTCTTGGGTGGAGCGACACTGATGCTCCACGGCCTGGCGCATCATATCTGCCATTTCACCGTGGTATGACTGTGTCGTCAGCAAGCTGCACGCGCAGGCTTTCATCGAGGTGAAACAGCACCTACCAATGCGCTTGGGAGAGGAGCTAGCCCCGGCCTCGCTCCCTTACACAGTGCTGTTACTAAGCGCTAGGCTGCATTTTAGAGTATAAATGTAAATTTACTATTTAAGATGAATAAGCAAACAAAAAGCTCTGAGCAGTGAGCATGCGCCGCATGCCTAAAGGATTCGCCACTGATACACACACATACTCCACACAGACACACGAGTTACTGCACCATGTGAACACCATTCCACCCAGTGTCTCCATGACCCTGTGAGGTCCTTCAGATCAACACCCGAGGACGAGTTACTGAACCACGAGGCCTATGTGACCTCACACAGTATGGCAAGAAACCAGCCCAGACCATCAACTGTAAACTAAAATAATTTGTTTGTTCAGTTCATGTCCTTCTCCTTTCAGAAATGAAAGCTTTTGTTAAACGACCCACTTACCCCGTGTCTTTGTAAGTAATAAGTCATTCTTGTCTATTGTATATTTTCAGCCTTCGGGCTGCAGAACTTTTTCAATAAACCGTTAATTATTATTATTTTTTATTAACACACACACACACACACACTTGTACAGTGATCCCTCGGTTAACGAACGCCTCAGCTAACAAAATTTCGGTTAACGAATTACCTTCCATAAGATTCTTCACTTCGGTTAACGAATTCCTTACGAATTTTTCCCAACATGTTTTCGCCTGCTCACCAGCTGTAGTATTAGTCCGCCAATACAGTAATCGGTTTTAGGGCTTAAATTTGTTACCATTTGAGTAAATATCAAGAAGGTTGTACTATTCAATAATTTTCCAAGTCTTATATTAAAGTTTTTAGTCATTTTAACAATTATTTAACATAATTGAAGTACAGGGAAGTAGTTTTTAGCGCGCCAAACAGCCACTCAACACACCCAAAATGGCGTCAGTGTGTGTCCCTGCTCAGAGGAGGAAGCTTCTTGCTTGAGACTCTCTTGAACAAACTATTTTTACATTTTTATAGTACAATTATTGGTCATTCTGAAGTTTATTTTACATATTGACAATATATAATGCAGTGCAGTGTTGATTTAAAGAAAATAATATTGAATTACACCAAGTGAACTAACATTTTATGGGTGAAATGGCAGCATGGGGTGACTTCTCTTCCACCCCAATGCCTTCTCTTCTCCCTTCTCCTCCACCCCCATTCTAATTCCCATCATCATCATCATCAACCAGGAGCCTTCTACATGCACACCTGAAAGTAAGTGTACTTTACTGCATTTATTTTTAGTTTGGGTATGTAATTTTCAGTGAGCTGGAACCAATTACCCAAAATCCCATTGAAACAATGGTTTCGGTTAACGAAATTTTTGGTTAACGAACGACCTTCTGGAACGAATTGTGTTTGTTAACCGAGGGACCACTGTATATTATTTGTAAATCGAGAGATCCATTCCCCATTTACGTAACTGTATATTTTCAACCTTCCGGCTGCCATGCTCTTTCAATAAACCGTTAATTATTATTATTTACATGCACGCACACAACCGGGAATTAAGACAACAAGCATCCAGCGAGGGTCTTGTTGTGTGACTGCATGGAGGCGAATTAAAAGATCAGCTGTTGAGGAGCTTATCGCTCGGCAACACTGGTGCATGTTACCACTCCTTTCCACTCCATCTCTCTAATCACCCCACACCTTTTTAGAATGTTATGTAATGTAATGTTGAAGGGATACAACTTTGCTCATTTATACTTATACTTACCACGATTTCCCTAAAAATACTTTAGGTTTTGCGTTTATTCAAGACATCTTCGGGTCATGATACCCACTAATCTCCCACCCAAGAAAGGGTGACCTGACATTCAATCAGGTCGGTAATATGAAACCACTAATCCCCCACCCACATTGAGTCAGGTCAGCCTCTCAAAAAAATTTAACTTTCATCTTTATTCAAGACATTTTCAGAAAATTTTCTCGATTTTCAACCTCAGAAAATTTGTTCCTAAAGCCGGAAATTTTTGGAAAATTCCGGCCTTGGGGATGATTTTCCGAGCAAATTTCAATTCCGGCCATCGGAGATTTCCGGGTTTGAGGATTCCGGTTAACGGAGATATTACTGTATTTAAGCCCTCTAAAATTTTAAATTTGTCTTACCTGGTTGTTTGGGCTAAATGCACCTTGAAGCTCTCTGGATGTGAAGGACACTTCAAAAACTGATAGTTTCTGCAGACCAAACATTTGTGGCCCATTAACTGTAAATAACTTCCCACCTGGAAAACAATGTTATCTTAATCATTAATTATCCCCAAAATGGCATTAAAAAATATCCTACTCTGATTTGCTGATGTAACAACAGTATAGGAACACCTCATCAAATAAAAGTCACAATAACTACTACATAACCCACAGGTTACTGAAGAGAAGCTTTTGCTATTATTCCAAGGCTCCCTCCTTCAATTCCTAACAAAACCCCTGACATATATAAGTACGTACAATGAAGTGTATTGGTTGACAGTATCAAATAATTCCTCAAGGGATGTCCGTGTTACAACCTTAGCGAGCTTGTCTCTCATCACTGCAGTGTGACTTTTGCTGAATCAAGAAATACATAAGTTTCAAAGAAATGGGCTACAGTAGGGAGCCTTATACAAAACAAGTGCAGAAAGCAACAGGGTATGACTAAGATATGTAAAAATATTCAACACAAAGCGAGATAATTCATCACATAGCTCATCTTAACACTTATATGACCTAAATTCTCCACTATACACACCCCACAATCATTCTTTGAGCATTAAATAAAATTTTTGAATTTTTTTTTCTCTTATGAATACTGTACAGTATAGTACTGTATATTTTTACCCCGAGTTTGAACTGTACATCAATGTCTATTAGCTAAGTACTGTACATAGGTAATGATAATTACCAAAAGCTGGGGTATAGCTGAGAGAAAACACACGACCTCCCCAAGCATCGTACTGGAACTGCCTCGTAAATTTCCCCTGCTCAATAGTAAAACATTGTACCCTTCCATTTTCTCGGTCAGCAACACACAATTCCCCCTTGTCCTCAGCAAGAGCCAATGCATGGGGAATGTTGAATGTCCCTGGATCAGGATTGCCTAAATAACCTGTAAAAAAAATAAAAAAATAAAAATAGTGTTTAAACAATTCTTACTTGGAATAGATTTGTAGTAAATATTACAGTTTAGATAAAGAAGATTATATTAAAAGCTGGAATATTGATTTTCTTGAATTTGTATACTATACTGTAATGAATTTGGGTTGTACTGGTACAGTATATTTAACAAACCTCTTTTGAAAGACTAATTGGTTAATTATTACATCATAGAATAGCTTCTAAGTACAATATATGATTGGCTACTGCTCTCAGTGGGTGGAGGAGATGTAGGTCCGCCAATATTTCCTCGACATATTGTATTTTTTTATTTATTTATTTTTTTTTTTACGGGAATTAGCCAACCCGGGCACAGGTCAAACGACCCACAACGGAGCCTGGGGGGCGAAAAAAAAGAACGGAAAGAAATTGAAAATATAGAAAAAAAGTTATACTGTATTAATCTACACCACGAAGATGCCGGAAAACCAGCTTTTTAAAGTGAGACAGATTGTAAGAGCATGGAAACACAGAAGAAGGCAAAGCATTCCACAGTTTGGCTGTGTGAAGAAAGAAGGAGGTACTATAACGGGTTATTCTCGTGTGACCGATATCCACAGAGAAATGGTGGGCACCGCGGGCAAGACGTGTGTTACGAACCCACGGCCTTACCGGCGGTACACAGGATGCCAAATCCCCTGAACATTGCCCGTTAAAGTACCTGTAAAAGAGAGAGAGTGAAGCAACATTGCGGCGAAGAGAAAGGGGAGAGAGATTGTCGACTAAAGGAGGAGAGTTAATAAGACGAAATGCCTTTGATTCCACCCTATCTAATAGTTGGACAGAAGAAGAGCCACCCCAGATATGAGAGCAGTACTCCAAGTTAGGACGAATGAATCCCTTATATACTTGGAGCAACTGCTCAGGAGTGAAGTAGCTGCGGCATCTGTACAGCATTCCCAACTTTCAGGAGGCAGCTTTAGTTATACTAAGGATGTGTGATTTCCAGGACATATTGGAGGAAATGGTGAGGCCTAACATATTTATTTCAGAATTTGGGGGGATGATAGCGTCCTGAAATGTAATTGGTGGGAGATCGTCTACTTTACAAAGTGTAATTGGTAAATATTGAGTTTTGTTACTACTGAACTTAACCAAGTTTGTATCTCCCCATTCAGAGATGCTGCACAGATCCGCGTTGATAGAAGTAATGATATCAGTTCTAGAAACAGATCTAGTTTGAGAGTTAGGAGGAAGGGGAAAATGTGAGGAAGAGTGAAGAGTAGAATCATCGGCGTAAGAATGGATAGAATTAGTTGTAGTGTGAAGTAAATCATTGATAAAAAGAAGAAAGAGAGTTGGTGAAAGAACAGAACCCTGTGGGACGCCACTATTGGTAGAGAAAGAGCGAGAAATCGATCCCTCGACAACAACTGCCATGGATCGATTCTCAAGGAAGCTAGAGATGAGAGAACAAAGTGGGGGAGAGAAACCAAAAGAGGGAAGTTTAGATAGCAAAGACTTGTGCCATACCCTGTCAACAGAGAAGGAAACATACAAACCCTAGGATAATCATAAGAGACATTTGTAAAGTGATGTTGGATCTGATAATAGAAGGAATCACTTGCTTACCACAGTGATAAATATGGGATGCAGGTTTTTTAATATTAATTACATTTTGCTGTATTGTACTGCACTTTATTTTAACTGCGGAAATATTTGTGATAATCTTCAGCTTATACTTTAGAGTACAGTATATGTCAACCTGAAATATGAGTTAATTTTTTTCAGCCTTCGTCACATGAAAATGGATGAGACATATTATCTTTTCACAAATTTATTCACTTACCGGGGTATATATTTTTCTATAAGTGATTTCATTTTAAAGAATAAATATTAACAAATCAGAATATATTTCGTTTTCTATTTTTGTTATCGCTTGCCGGCCACATGTTATGTGAAGAAACTGTTTACAACTCAGAATAGCTTATTAAGCGAGATGGAGCTGGTAGCAGCTGTGTGACTGCCTGAAGGGCAGACTATCGCCTTCTACTGTAGGGGCAACATCTTGATTCTCGTCAGCCAACATCTTCCTGCAGGACATTATATTTGTTCTCGTTGGTCTAACCCTAGACCCGAAAACGTGAGTGTGATTGTGAACTGTTAAATCCTCTAAGAACTCTAAATAACTTTAATAAGTGTATTTATGTACTGTATATTGATCATATTATTCAAACTGTGTCCTGATGTATCAGCAGTTGTAACATGTGAGTTATATTTAACAGGTTATGTACTGTATATTGATCGTATTATTCAAACTGTGTCCTGATATCAGCAGTTGTATATGTGAGTTATATTTAACAGGTTATGTACTGTATATTGATCGTATTATTCAAACTGTGTCCTGATGTATCAGCAGTTGTAACATGTGAGTTATATTTAACAGGTTATGTACTGTATATTGATCATATTATTCAAACTGTGTCCTGATGTATCAGCAGTTGTAACATGTGAGTTATATTTAACAGGTTATGTACTGTATATTGATCGTATTATTCAAACTGTGTGTCCTGATGTACCAGCAGTTGTTATATGTGAATTGTATTTGACAGGTATTGACCGAATTATACTCATAACGTCAACGACAAGGGTCTTATTGTCCTGCACAAGCCAAAATCGCTCCTATGAGCGATTACAATTTTATTACTGTACTTGTAATAACCTCAAATGATAAAAGTCAAAAGTATGTCATCAGTGCACCATCTGCCTTGTTTTACTTTCTTTTCTATTATTGCTAATTAATTTTCATTGTAATCAAAGGGTTTAAATGCTCTCCATTTATTCTTGTTTGTAAGGCTACAAGGCTAGGCTGCACACTTAGCTTATTTTGTCACCTCTACATTAGAAGATGAACCTGGCAGATGGCATACATACTATATATACCTGATGACACTACCAGAGCAAAAAGCCAGTGATCAATAGTATATATAATACTTTACATCTATAGTAAATGCAAAAACAAATTTCCTAAAATAGACAATCACTAAATACACACAGAAAACACTGAGGAAAAAACAAAGTGCACTTTCAAAAGGAAGAATACTGTACACATTCTCTTAATCATTTAGTGACTAAGACATTCTCAGAACATAATACTTACTTCCAATACTACCAACACTTCGTTCTCCAAATTGAAAGAGAAATTTTCCATCAGCAGAGTATTTAATGACTCGAGCATTGCAGTAGCCATCAGAAACAAAAAATTCTCCATTGTTCAAGACAGCAATTCCAGTTGGCTTGCAAAAATGAGTCCTATCTCTTCCTGGTTCAAATCTGAAAAAAAATAATAGAACAAAGTTACATACAAAAGTAACAATGCTTTTATATACAGTAAAAGTCCAAAAATTTGGATGCCAGAAATCAGGACCACCCGAGAATCCGGACTTTTCGAAAACTAAATTTATTTATTTTTTTTTTTTTAAATTTAGTGGGCTTTTGTGTGTATGTGCGCATGTGTGAGCGCCACAGCTGCACAACGACAACAAGTGACCACGCAGTCACCACTTTAAAACGAGCAATCAAACTGTGACAACATATGTAATTTTGAGTCCTACTCTTTCCATTTACAGAGTACTGTACAAGCCCATAATAATGGCTCCTAAAGTTGATAAACTTCGTTGTGTGAAGAGAAAGAACACGTTGAAATTGAGTGAAAACTTGAAATAATGAAGAAACTAGAAAGTGGTGTGAGCAATACTGATCTAATGGAAACATACGACATTGGAAAGTCTACAATTTATGATATAAAAAAGGCAAAGAATAAAATTCTAGAATTCACGGCTTCTTCTTTAAAACTGCTCGTTTTGATAAATGAAACATGTTATATTTGCTAATGAATAAACTATTAAAATGTACCTGTTCATCTCTTCTTTATTCCTCCTTAAATTTGAATTTTAAAAGTACTGCCTGAGAATCCGGAAAATCCGAAAATCCGGACTGACCCAATCCCCAAGCAGTCCGGATTTTTGGACTTCTGCTGTATTTTCATATTTCAGCATAAATCCATGCTATTGCACCGTAAAATGCAGTCTGTGACGACGCAAAACGCCGTAGTATCGGAACACCGGGACGTTAAAAAATTTTTGGTCTCTAAAGTTTAGTGACGTAGTACCGAAACAACGTTAAGCGGGACGACGTTAAGCGCGGACTTACTGGACATAAACATACAAACAAACAAACAAACAAAGGTGAAGCTACAGGTATGGGACCATTTACCCAGCACACTTGAGAACTGGGCTTTGGAGCGCGAGACCTAAATGTAAAAAATTTACAATAAATCCTCTATAATTGGCTGTGAAGACTGTTCAGAGCACTAGTCACCCCTAAAAGTAGCTTTAACTGTACACTGTAACATTAAAACTTACTGTAAAATAGAGGTACATAAACAGCAATAACAAAATCATATAAATAGTACAGTAATAATGAAAGCATTAAAACAGCGAATATGATACATGTTAGTATACAAACTACTATGTCGTAGTCGCCCCTAATAATCGCCTCAGCAATGATGTTCCGCCATGGACCCTCCGACTCTCCACACACTCACCACACAGCTTACGGATGTAAACCCACAGATACGTAAAACTTTATACCTTAGGATAATTACTTCTTTTTACACTTTCTGTATGTAGAATTTTATGCGCATGTAATCGAGAAAAAAAAAACATGAAGAAAATTACTTGTATCTACCCAAAATTACGACTTGAAAAATACTTTATACTTTATGATAATTATTTCCTTTATTTAATTTCTTCATTTTCTGTATGTAAGATTGAGTGTGTATGTAAATGAGAAAAGAAATTGAAGAAATTACATATACAGGTACCTCTATTTACCCCAAATTACTACAGTAGTTGAAAAATAACCATAACATACAGCTCACAGGTGGGAAATGGTTGAAATATCCCCGCTCGGCCTGGGATTTACTTTTGGCGCTCATTTTAAATAATTTGTTCCAGAACACAACCAGGTTTTGGAACATTCTGGATATCGGATGTCCGATAAATGGTCCCTTCTATATTTATCATAGCTAAAATCTTTCAACACCTGCTTAACCCAAACAGTATATTCTATCAACATATTGATATCTGTAATACTTATACTGTACCTGGTGCCAAGTGTTAGTAGAGGTTGTCCTTCGCCATACCCTGCAGGGAACTTCAAAACTTGATGAAGACCAACATCAGTTACCCAGATGTTGTCATCCTTATCCAATGTTAGACCGTGAGGCATGAAGAAACTATGGAGAGATGTACAATTATTATGTTTATCTTGAACTATCAACAACATGTTGCACAGAAGGTTAAATATTAACTTGCCTTTTATATCTGTAAAGCATGTCTTCTATATGTACTTTTGCTATCAATCTTAAGAATCTAAATTGTCAGTGTACAGTACTGTATCTTCACCACCTCAGAAAGCTATACTTTGCTAACCTCTCCTTTGTCTAATTATGTATTTTCTCCTACCAATTATTATCTCTGTATATACTATACTATACTACACCATATGCATCTTTACAAATCACTCTCCACTGCTTGTATCTCCTCCATAATCCTGTCACTGTAACTGCATCCCATACATAAAAAGGGTAAAACTATATTTTTTGTTAGGACTGGCCACACATGCTAATTTTCACTCTTTTCCCTCCACATCATCCATAACAAGATACTACTGTAACTCTTGGACACATCAACTTCTTGTATAGAACACCTTAAAGAACTTTTAACTTCAGAGAACTCACCAAGATTTCTTTGTCCAACTATGTCAACCTCCTCTTATGAATTACTAGTTTTAGTGATCACTTTTAATTTTCTATAATTTTCCATATTCCCTCAATTTATCCTGAGCTGCCAACAAGTCATCCATTTACTCTACATTTACAGTATTGTAATAAAATTTCCTACCTTCAACTCCTTTCTGTCCTCAAATAATATTTCAAATTTACAAAATGAGACAAATAACTCTCTTTCGAATAACAATCAACCTAGTATCTTGAATAGGTGAAACTTCAGGAAATTAATGAGTAGACAAACTTACTAATTTTCTCCCCATTTGTGTAAGATATGACCAGTGTCCTTATCCAAATGTAAAAGAGCTGGCTCAGCAATGGTTTTCTTCTTATTCTTCAAAGTGTTGCCTACAAAAGTTGAGCCGTCCCACGTCTGGTTTCCTCGATGGAAAACAACCACATCACCATGAGAGTCCAAGGCAACTGCAACTACTTGTCCATATTTCACTTCTTTTTGGCCCCAATTGTTCACTAAACGATATGCTGGAATGAGAAAAGGGAAATGAAATACTGTACTGGAAAATACATATTCACTGTATAATACAGCAATCAGTCATTGGTGGACCTCTAAGCATCTATAAGAATTATTACAGTACATTCATTGTAAGACAATGATATACTACACGTTTGATGACTTTTATATTTCTATTAAAATTATTTCACAGTAAATTTTGGAATAACATAAAGACTATGTTAAGTAAAAAATTACTAAGATGAGGTACTCACAATTTAAGAATAACGAGTTACGCAGGAGACAGACTTTAACTCCTAGATTTTTTAAAATTGTACTGTGTACATAAAAAAGTAGAAAAAATAAATAAAAGCTACAGATACTGTACTATACAGTGATGAATAATCAGGGTTGCAAAGCAAATTTTTTTTTTAAAAATTACAACCCAATAATTTAATCATGTTGCCAAAATGGCAAGGTAATTTGTTTTGGTCAGAAAACACCTTTTCTCTTAGAAATTGGAAATTAACATGTTTACATATTTTTCATCCACAAAAACACTCAAAATCACCATAAAAATGTTTGGAAGCAAGTGTTTACTGAGATAATGAGACATACGTATAAGCAAGAGATGCAGGTGAAGGGATACAACCAGAGAATAATAACCTTTAATCTCTTCACTGTACAGTACTGACATGGTTCTGGTGCTCACACATCTGAAACATTAAACCATCAAAGTTTTTCTCTGACTTACATGATACAATTCTTCACTCTCTCACCACTGAAATGCTATACAGTAGAAGAATGTTTTACTTGCAACACACAGATTCTGTTCATCTTAACCCTCTTGTGCATGCAATAAGTTTTCAAATTTCCATGACCAGAAATTCAAGGATACAGAATGCCTCCCATTAGTTCCATGGTAAATTTTTTGGGGTTACACAAGAGTTTCTATTATTATAGAAGGTAACTAGTATGCCGTTACAACACTATTTGTGAAGGATTATGCATAAGGTAGCCGAGCGCATCCCCTTGTGAGACACCATCTGTGATTCAGTACAGGGTACAGTACATATTAACCCTATGAAGGTCATTTTTGGTTAACAGAAAATTTGGGTCACAGATAGGGTCCAGGAATGGAACCTTTCTGTAAACTGGGGAGTGTCTTATATCTAAACAAAAATTTTTGCATGATTTATACATCACTGTTTTGTTATTGTTTTAACTTTAACTTGAGCAGAAAAAAATAAATAAGATGAGAATAAGACTACAGTACAGTATATATTTTCAATCGGAATGAAGAAAAATATTAGTGTTCCCAGCATCATATCTTGGATATTTTCTCACACCTACCAAGGCATTGCTGCAGTATCATAGTTACAGACGGTGGTTTTGAAATTTTGAGAAGACTAATTCTGGGGAGGGTGGGAGGGAAGAGAAGAGAAGAGACATATGTGACCTACCAACATGGCTGATGGGAGAAAACTGATGGACCGTGGTACTCCACCCACGCTTTGGTACTTTCTGGAAGCTTCCCTAGTAAGATCATGTAGACATCTATAGCGCACAAAAATTTGACCCAAGTTTCTTGAAAACTCTTTTGGATTTTTTTTTAAAGTATCATGATTCAATTTGTATCACCAATGCATATACTGTAGTGCTACCCAATGATCTGAAGCGATTCACATCTTGATGTACAAGAGGGTAATTACCAAAACTATTATTCATCATTTTGCCCTAAACTCCCTGCATTATTTTTCTTCATAGCCTCTGGCAAATATTTTAAGTTTAACAAATCCTTCTCTACCAAGTCACCAGTTCGCTAATGGCAACTGAACACATTAACTGGCAGCTAAAATTCGAGAACGACAAATAAATTGGAGTGACACAAAATACAAATCTGAAATAAGATAATACAGTACAGTTGTACCCCGATTTACGCGGTCAATTGAACCCACAGGGTACCGCGTTAAGTGAAATCCGCGTAAATGGAACAACAGAACATATGGGATTAATTCCAATAGAGACTGGCCCGACCCCCAAACTCCACTTTTTGACGACACACAACTATGTTGTAGTAAAAATTTTATCTTAACTTTATGATGGTATGAACAAACAAGTAATATAGAAGAGGTTAGGTTAGGAAAAATAAAGGTTAAGTTAGGAAAAATAAAGGTTAGGTTAGGAAAACTAAAAGTTAGGTGTAACACTTACATTAGTAGAAGACACACACTGCGCAACCTTACAGCGCGGCTTGCCCAGGCGGAGGGAGGCGGGAGGGAGGGAGGAGGAGGGAGAGGCAAGGCAGGCGGGAGCAGCGGGTGGCGGGTGGGGCGAATCTAAAAATAGCGTCTCGAGCCGGACACTGCGCATATAGGGGTAGATGAACCGCTTTAAGTGAAAGTTCGGTTCTGGCGAGGCACCGCGTATATGAGAAATAGCGTTAAGTGAAACCGCGTAAAGCGGGGTACAACTGTAATCAGTAATGATTATTGTTTGTTATGTAATTACTCCCATAATCAAACACTGCAGACTGATGATTTGAGGGATAACTGGAGAATGACAGACACAAGGATAACCTCAGTGTAAAGAATATGGAAATGAAGATGAAGATGTGACGAGGAAATTGGTCACCTTTGTGGGTAAGATTTTCCTCACAAGTGTTGAAAGACAAGATAAACATGAAGTAGCTACAAGTAAGTCACCATCCCCAAACACACAAGGTTGATCAAGGAAATGCACCAAACCTGAACCTTCATCTCCCCCCCCCCCCCCCCCATCCAGTGAGACAAGAACAGAGGTGAGGGAAAACTGATAGTTAAGTAAATGTTCAGAGATAATCACTAATCAAAGGCCAAGTGATCATCAGGGTAAGGAGGAATGGAGACAACACAAGATTACAGACAGATTACTGTACTCATAATTACACAGACAGGCACAGCAATTATAATAGAACAGCTCCCTAATTACTACAGATAAGGTTGGGGGAAGGGAATAAAAATACAAAATCTTTCTTCTCACCAGATGATTTCAGCTGTTTTGACTTCCTTGGTGTCTGATCTATCACAGGTTCTTGTGTATCTTCAGGTAACTGAAGACTTGGGATGATCCTGTTGCCTACGAAGGAAATAAATATATTATGTAAAAAAAAATTACTTGAGTACAAAGAGGCAAATATACATGATGATTAGAATACAATATAGTACAGTGGTTTTGAATTACAAATTCATAAGCATCAAACTGGTGTGTGACAATGTTAGAAGGGGAGTATCTAGTTATACTCTAAGGAGGATGTCCTATACCACTCCAAACAATGGTACTGTATAGTATCTACAGTCAACCCTCACTTTACGCGGTTAATGTAACCCACAGGGTCCCGCGTAAAGTGAGAAACGCGTAAAGTGAATAACATAACATATGGGATTAATTGAAATGGAGTCCGGGCCGATCCCCAAACTCCACTTTTTGACGACACACAACTATGTTGTAGTAAAAATATTATCTTAACTTTATGATGGTATGCACACACAATTAATAATTAAGAGAAATATCAATAATATTAGGTTTTTTAACACTTACATTAGTAGAAAAAATGGCTGGGCACACGGGGATGGGCGGTTGGTTCCGAGGCAGAGGGCAGATTATTGGCCCTCACCTGTGTCACTTGTATCAATTGTATCACTATCCACCACAGAGGCTTGCAGGGCCTCTTTGTCAAACTCCCCAAAGTCCATATAAGTCCATATCCTCACCATAATTATCACTATCACTGACTTGGGCCGGCTGTGATGGGTGGCGGGTGAAGAACTGGTAATGTTTTGATGACTGGGTGACCTTGTGCGCACCATGTTCGCGCAGCTTACACAACATGGCGGATGGCGGGAGGTTTGGATCCAAAAATGGCGCGGCTCGCCAGCCGCTCTCCGCGTAAAGGGGTACACGCACCGCGGAATGTGAGCATCCTGGGTTCCGGCAGGGCACCGCGTAAACGTGGAAACGCGGAATGTGGGACCGCGTAAAGTGAGGGTTAACTGTATTTCTTTAAATTACTCCTTGAAAAATTGTGTTGACAAAATTATGAATAAATATCAATGTAAGTGATATAAATTTATGATATAAAATTCTCAAAAAGTCATCCTAAATACTGTACTCAACTTTCACCAACAAGGTGACCAATAAGAGTGGGTGACCCCCCCCCCCCCTCGCACTGTCCCACAGAAAAAGATTAGGACGGCAAGATGCAGATTGATTCATAAGTGAAGCTGAATTATCAGATAATGAATTTGACAGGTCCTACTATACCAAGCTTGGCTGAAATCCACCAAGATTTACTCAAATTCACATTCATTATCTATACAGTCAACCCTCGCTTTACGCGGTCCCACATTCCTCGTTTCCACGTTTACGCGGTACCCTGCCGAAACCGGAATGCTCACATTCCGCGGTGCGTGTACCCCTTTACGTGGAGAGCGGCTGGCGAGCCGCGCCATTTTTGGATCCAAACCTCCAGCCATCTCTCCCACCATCAGCAATGTTGTGTAAGCGGCGCGAGCAGGGTGCGCACAAGGTCGCCCAGTCATCAAAACATTACCGAGTTCTTCACCCGCCACCCACCACAGCCGGCCCAAGTCAGTGATAGTGATAATTATAGTGAGGATATGGACTTATATGGACTTTGAGGGGTTTGACAAAGAGGCCCTGCTAGCCTCTGTGGTGGATAGTGATACAATTGATACAAGTGATACAGGTGAGGGCCAATAATCTGCCCTCTGCCTCGGAACCAACACCCCATCCCCGTGTGCCCAGCCATCTTTTCTACTAATGTAAGTGTTAAAAAACCTAATATTATTGATATTTCTGTTAATTATTAATTGTGTGTGCATACCATCATAAAATTAAAAAGTTATTTTTACTACAACGTAGGTATTGTGTCTGAAAAAGTGGAGTTTGGGGGTCGGCCCAGTCTCTATTTCAATTAATCCCATATGTTAAGTTGCTCACTTTACGCGTTTCTCACTTTCCGCGGTACCCTGTGGGTTGAATTAACCTCGTAAAGTGAGGGTTCACTGTACTGTATTTCTGAGAAACACATAGATGCACAGAAGGAAAGCCTGCACTATACTCCTATGTTTTCCAGGGTCAGCAGGAGACACACTTGTTACTGTAAGCTAAAAGGTCATTTACTTAAAACAGATTTCTGTTACATGTACAGAACTGTACTTTTAAGAAGAATTAACAAACCTTCGATACAAAGGTGATACAATAAACATCCAATAATAAACACTAGCACCTACAGATCAAGATCATGCTTAAGAAATACATTCATAATCTACATTACTTACAAGCAGAATATAATTACACTAGCTGGGGTACCTAAGAATGTCTAGGTCTTTGAATTAGAGAGCCAACTCGTAGTCTATGTCAGCCCATGGCCAAAATTAAGTGCATATGAAAAAAATAGCGACAGTAAAGGGTATAAAATTATTTTAGCTCTAGTTTCAGACTGTGGTCATGCACAAGAGGACCACCTTTCAGGTAGGAGTTGCAACCTCCCCCCCTCCAACTAAATGTTTGTGAGAATTCTCAGGGCTAAGGCATTGCAAATTTCACCTCTCTTCGTTCAACATGTCGCTGTGAATACCATGGACAGAATTTGGAGTGGAGGCCCGACCACTAAGGGTGTTTTTTTTTAGTTACTCAAGTGCTGGTGTGGGATGCGTGTTGCTATGTCTGGCATGTATGTAGGGGTTGTTGATGATGAGGAAAATGTTATCATACTGTAAAGCTCCCAGCACTCTTCCCCTTGGGTCAACTCCCCAAAATTCCATCTTCTGGACAATCCTAGGGTGCATGCACATCTTCATGCCAAATTTCAGCTCTCTATCTTCAAAACTGTAGCTGTGCATAGCAAACAGATAGATACACACTGTGCTTTATATATACAGTACAGGTAAACATGTACGATAGATTATGAAATGCACATACTGCAATCTAATGGTAATTTTGTATGGGAGGAAAATCATTGGTCAAATAATAAGTAAATGAAAAAAAGGAAATAAAAGCTTCACAACTAGAGAGCTATTCATACACACACTGATAAGGCATGACATAAGAGGCTTGGAAACATGACACAGCCTCATCACTTATGACTCCCCACCTCCGAACCTTTGACGATATGGAGGCAAGACTTTATGTGGCAGTCTATCATACTGCGTGTCGTAGTCTAATTCAGCAATATTTTCAAAGTAACCTGAAACACAGATACATATACTGGTAATAATATTCTCTCTTATCTCCCACAGCATCTTCCGCTCTCACAAATAGTCTACCATTAAGAAATGAATGCCTAAGATACTTCATATAAAGTAGAATTGAAGCTGTTAAAATATTACACAAGGCAAAAAAGTTGTCTTCATATGTTTACTCAACCTGAAAGTTACCCATTCACAACACCTTTACGTCTCCATCTATTCCTTATACAGCATGCCCTTCAAATTCGCGGGGGTTAGGTTCTCAAAATGGCAGTGAATCGCCAAATCCGCGAATAAAATTTGCTGTGTGTGTGTGTGTGTGTGTGTGTGTATGTGTGTGTGTGTGTGTGTGTGTGTGTGTGTGCATGTGTGCGTGTGTGTGTGTGTGTAATAATAATCATAATAATTAACGGTTCATTAAGATAACATGGCAGCCCGAAAGCTGAAAATATACAATGAACAGAGATGACAAGTTACATATGGTGAAATCGGGGAGTGGGTCACTTGATTGACAAAAGCTTTCAAATACAAAAACATAAGAAACATAGAGTCAACATATAAATTAACTTTAGATCTGGTACTGTGGGAGCTGGTCTGCAGACATTCTTCTGACCTGATGTCAGAGCCAAGCCTGGCTGTTAAGCCGCTACCTCACTACTGCTGGAGATGTACCACGTGGTCCGGGTAGGTCTTCCAGCTCACACAGGATGTTGGGGATGGTTCTTGTTCATCATGTGATGTAGTTAGGAATTCATAGTTCCTCACCTGGGTGGAGTAGGGAGTCCTCATTTCTCTCCTGGTGTAGCTTGAAGAGTTTCATGGCTTCTCATACAGTGTTGGTGTTGGAGAGTGTACTGCGGACCCTAGGTGTGTCAGGTCCGCGTCAGGCTAACATTGACCGCTAAGCACCGATTGTCACTCTAACAGTCGTTTCTTTGTTTCGAGTTGAAATTGTCACTTTTGTTTATCACTTGTGGGTTGATCATCAATCTTTGCACTGTACTGTTGGTGGGAGGATGTTGATAAATCCTGATGGAGAAAGGGAAGGGCCCGACAGACCAGGCTGGCAGCTGTCTCCATGGTCAAGAGACCACGGCCACGTGAGCGGGCAGCGCCGACTACACACGTCCTTACCCTATGAAGGCTGAAGGAAGTGTGTGTGTGTGTGTGTGTATTTTTTACGTTTTTACTTGTGTTCAAAGAAATGTATATTCCCTTTACGTGTTTGACCTCAGGACAATTATTTCTTTTACCTGTAGTATTGTATATACTATGTGTGTGTGTGTTTGTGTGTGTGTGTGTGTGTGTGTGTGTGTGTGTGTGTGTGTGTGTGTGTGTAGTTTAGGCAGGCAGACAAGTTCAAGGGTTCATGGCAACACCCACGATCCAAACACTGGCATTTTATTGACTACATCATTGTCAGAGAAAGAGATCGCCGAGAAGGCCTCTTCACCTGTGCCAAGCGTGACTCAGACCACTGCGACACTGATCATCGGCTCGTCAGAGCCAAGCTCTCACTTCATGTCGCCTCAAAACAGTGAAGGCAACAATCTTCAAGAAGAGGTTTTAACACTAAGCGTCTGGAGGATTCAGCGGTAGCACATGATTTCAAAGAGCAGCTCGAACATGGGTTGATAAACAACCCAACAACAAATAACTCAAATCCCACTGCTGAATGGAGTATTCTTGACAATGTCATGACAAAAACCTGCAGAGACCCTCGGCCAGGTCGAAAGAATACCCCAGGACTGGTTTGATGAAAATGACCCAAAAAATCAATGTACTCATCGATGATAAACGTGCTGCTTTAACTGACTGGCAGAACAACCCTCAGTCTCGGACCAAAGTTGATACCTTCTGCAAGATGAAAGTGGCGGCCCAACACGAACTTCGAAAACTAATGAACGGCTGGTTTAAAAAAAAAGCATGTGAAATGCAAAAACTTGCAGATCAACACAAGATGCGTGAATTTTTCAATTCTACTAAAACATTTTATGGGCCTATCACTCATGGCACAGCCTGCCTCTGCTCATCTGACAGTAACTCCCTAATTAAAGATGAAGAAGGCATCCATCCTTCAGTGCCTGAAAGAGCACTACCATTAGCTGCTCAACCGAAACACCAATATGCATGTCCTGACTACCCAGCAGGTCCCTCAGCATCCAGAGCTGACCCACCTCAGCTATCCCCCATCCCTGGATGAGGGGATAGCTGCCACCAAACAGATGAAAAATAACACAAGCCTTAGGGCCTGATGGAATCCCAGCCGAGGTGTATAAAACAGGAGGACCTCTGCTTACTAGCCGTCTCCACTCTCTCCTGGAGAATATACAATGGTCCCTCGGTTAACGAGCACAATCCGTTCCAGCAGGTTGCTGGTTAACCGAAAAACTCGTAAACCGAAACCATTGTTTCAATGGGTTTTTGGGTAATTGGTTCCAGCTCACTGAAAATTGCCTAAATTCAACAAAAAAGGTAGAAAAGTACACTTACTTTGAGGTGTGTATGTAGAAGGCTCCTGGATGATGATGATGGGAATTAGAATGGGGGTGGAGGAGAAAGGAGAAGAGAAGGCATTGGGGTGGAAGAGAAGTCACCCCATGGTGCTATTTCACCCATAAAATTTTAGTTCCCTTGGTGTAATTCAAGATTATTTTCTTTAAATCAACACTGCACTGCATTATATATTGTCAATATGTAAAATAAATTTCAAAATGACCAATAATTTGCTTGGAAACACAGAAAAAAAGCGTTTAGTTGAAGAGAGTCTCAAGCAATATATTACCTCCACTGAAAAGAGAGAGAGACTAACGCCTGTTTGTGTGTTAACAGGCTGGAAGGCGCGCCAGAAACTAGTTTCTTTACCTTCAATTACGTTCAATAATTGTTAAAATGACTAAAAAATTTTAATATTAAACTTTTAAAATTATTGAATAGTATAAACTTCTTGATATTTACTAAAATAGTAAGGAATTTAAGCCCTAAAACCGATTACTGTATTGGCGGACTAATACTACAGCTGGTGGACCGCCAAATGCAAGCGAAAACATGTTGAGGTCGACTTGTAAAAAACTCGTTAATTAAGGGATTGCTCGTTAACCGAAGTTAAGAATCACATAGAAGGTAAATCGTTAACCGAAATCTCGTTAACCGAGGCACTCGTTAACCGAGGGATCACTGTATGGGAAAAGGAGAAAATCCCCCAAGCTCTTAAAGATGCCTCCATCATCAATATTTATAAGAACAAGGGAGACCGGTCAGACTGTGGTAACTACCGCGGGATCTCGCTATTGTTCGTAGCTGGGAAGATTATCGCCCGAGTCCTCCTAAGCAGACTACTACATGAGGAGGAAAACTTCCTCCCAGAATCTCATTGTGGCTTTAGACCATCACTTGGCACCACTGACATGATATTTGCTGCCCACCAGATACAAGAAAAGGTGCAGAGAGCAGCGCCGTGACCTATACATGGCCTTCATCGACCTATCCAAGGCCTTCTACTCAGTCAACAGGGAAGCCCTCTGGTGGACCCTCAGCCGGTTTGGCTGCCCACCAAAATTCATCGCCATTGTGAAACAACTCCACAACGGCGTGAACGGCAGTGACCTGCACAATGGCACCCAGTCTGAGTTCTTCCCCATCCAAATGGGGGTAAAACAAGGATGTGTACTGGCACCAACTCTCTTTTCCATTTTTTGGCTGCCTTCCTTACTCGTGATACTGCCAATTTAGCCAGCAGGGTGGACATAGAGTACCGGATGATGGATCTATTCAAAATAAGATGACTCCAGGCAGGAACAAATGTGTCGGAAGCTTCCATTACTGAACTTCCATATGCAGACGACCTCACCCTTGTCGCTCACACTGAACACGACCTGCAGGAGATCCTGAACACCTATGCAGATGCGTATGCACACTTCGGCCTTGAAGTGAATGTGCGTAAGACTCAGATTCTCTTTCAGCCTGCCCCTGGTTCAGCCACACTTCCACCATCCATCCAGCTTAACGGTACTACCCTCTCTAATGTTACCTACTTTCAGTATCTCAGCTCCCACCTGTCCACCACCACAGACATCGTTGAAGAGATTCAACATCGGATCAGATGTGCATCTCAAGCCTTTGGCAGACTCCGTACCCGTGTCTTCAGCTATAGGGAGCTGAAATTATTCACAAAGTTGCACACATATTGTGCAGTGGTCCTCCCCACCCTGCTTTATGGCAGTGAGACATGGGTTACATACTGGGGGCACCTCAAAGCACTTGAAAACTTTCACCAACGTAGACTACGTTCCATCCTCCGAGTTCGCTGGGAAGATGAGAACAAATGCCAGTAGTCTCGCTGACACCAACTGTAGGAGCATCGAGGCTACCATTATCCAAGAACAACTACGTTGAACTGGCCATGTTACAGCATGGACGACAGTAGACTGCAAAAGCGGCTACTTGACAGTCATCTAACAGATATGCATTACTGACCACCTCCGAACACAAGGACGGCTAAAAATAGCCACAGGCGGTCACAGTCAAGGTCACTTTCCCTTTCTTGTCGCCGGCAAATGGGGGGGCGGGGGGTGATAATAGCAGCTGTGTTTATTACCGGGGTATATTGTTCTTTTACGGTATGTTAGACAGGTTTATAATACATTTTTATTATTTTAATATACCGGTAATCTTATTTTTAATCCAGCTTCCCAAATGGTAATCTTATTTTTAATCCAGCTTCCCAAACGTAAGTTTCAGTATAAAATAATTAGTGGTAGGACCTTGTGAGTGGTTTACGCACCACTCTTGACACGCTAAACCCGCAATATTTAAGAGGTAAGAATTTTATATCTGGTGCTTAAGACGACCCCCTAACTTTGGGCTAATTTTTTTCTGGTTCAAATTCCGTCTTATAGGCCGTGATATACGGTATATCCACTGGTTGTATCCAGAGTGTATTACATTACAGGTTGACAATCCCTTATCCGAAATCCCTGGGGCCAGAGGCATTTCGGATTTCGGAATTTTTCGGTTTTCAGAATGGTTAGTTTTTTTTTTTTTAGCCCACCCAGGCATAGATCACTGACCAACATCAGGGCCTGGGGGGCGAAAATATAATAAAAATTATAATAATAATAACAATAATAATAATAATAATAATAATAATACAGGTAATAATAATAATAATTCATAGGTCTAGGTTGCGTTTCTCACTTTTGATCTTTTTTCATTCTTGTATTTCTTTATTATTATTATTATAATTATTTTATTACAGTATTATTGTTATCATTATTAGTATTAATTTTGTTAAATAATATTTTATTATTATTATTATTATTATTATTGTTATCATTATTATTTTATTTTGGTGTACAGTGATCCTTCGGTTAACGAGCGCCTCGGTTAACGAGATTTCGGTTAACGAGTTACCTTCCATAAGATTCTTAACTTCGGTTAACAAGCAATCCCTCGATTAACGAGTTTTTTACAAGCCGACCTCAACATGTTTTCGCTTGCATTTGGCGGTCCACCAGCTGTAGTATTAGTCCGCCAATACAGTAATCGGTTTTGGGGCTTAAATTCCTTAATATTTTAGTAAATATCAAGAAGGTTATACTATTCAATAATTTTAAAAGTTTAATATTAATATTTTTTAGTCATTTTAACAATTATTGAACATAATTGAAGGTAAAGCAACTAGTTTCTGGCGTGCCATCCAGCCTGTTAACACACCAGACAGGCATTAGTCTCTCTCTGTTTTCAGTGGAAGTAACATATTGCTTGAGACTCTCTTCAACTTAATGCTTTTTTTCTGTGTTTCCAAGCAAATTATTGGTCATTTTGAAATTTATTTTACATATTGACAATATATAATGCAGTGCAGTGTTGATTTAAAGAAAATAATCTTGAATTACACCAAGTGAACTAAAATTTTATGGGTGAAATGGCGCCAAGGGGTGACTTCTCTTCCGCCCCAATGCCTTCTCTTCTCCCTTCTCCTCCATCCCCATTCTAATTCCCATCATCATCATCCAGGAGCCTTCTACATACACACCTCAAAGTAAGTGTGCTTTTCTACATTTTTTGTTAAATTTAGGCAATTTTCTGTTAGCTGGAACCAATTACCCAAAAACCCATTGAAACAATGGTTTCGGTTAACGAGTTTTTCGGTTAACGAGCAACATGCTGGAACGGATTGTGCTCGTTAACCGAGGGACCACTGTACAGTATTTTAATTAAAAATCTTATTTACTATGAATAATTATTATTATTATAATTACTATTACTATTACATTTTCGCCCACCAGGCCCCACTGTGAGTCAGTGATCTATGCCCGGGTGGGCTAATCCCTGTTATAACAAAAAAAAAAAAAACAACCTTTCGGTTTTCGGAATTTTGGATAAAGGGTTGTCAACCTGTACTATAATTCTCTGTGGTTTGGGAAGACTATTCATTGAAGGAAGCCTAGGTGTGAGATAGGTAAACATTGGTTTGGAAATAGAGTAGTGGATGAGTGGAACAAGTTACCAAACATCATCATTAACTCAAATACGCTGGATAGCTTCAAACATAGGTTGGGTGGATATAGGAGCGATAGGGGTTGGGTGGATATAGGAGCGATAGGGGTTGGGTGTAAACGGGACTGTCCAGTATAGGTTTTTCTATTCACTTCTACCAATAACTCCCATACTTCATTATAACCAAATTACTTTAGCTTCCTACTAAAGCTAAAATTTAACTTAAGCTGTACATGATTAATTTTAAAGTTGTAAAGCTTTGTGAATGAAAATATCTGGTTGATCTTGTCACCTCTGATTGTGGCCCTGTAAAATAAAGATGATCCATATCACTTTCTGGAGTTTAGAGCCATAAGTGAACATTCTTTTCCAGCCCAATCTTTTTCCAACACAGTGCCTCTATTTTAAAATTGGCTGTCTATCTCCCCGAAGCAGCTGGACTCGGTGACGACTTTCAGAAGCAACCAAAGGCTTTTTTTGAGGGCATATGACAGTATTAACTGTGTTAAATGAAAATTATGGCCTGTAGTGAATGTTTTTATTAATCAACTGTTGCTGCTGTAGTTGTAATGATTATGTCTGTCTTTCTTTTTTGTTTATCTCTTTTTTTTTTGTAAGTTAAGTGAAATTTTTCCTGTATAAAGGATTGGTGCTTTTGATAAATAAAGTACCAACTACGGGTAACATTACAGGAAATATCATAATATACTTCAATCTAATTTTCTACACTTTCAGTTCTCATATACTAGAAAGAAAATCTTTAAAACAAATACAGCTAAATGAAAACTATAATATGATATACAATACAAGTACTGTGTTTACAAACAAATAATTACCTGGTCGTGGATCTTTGCGAGAATGAGCCTTCTTCTCTAGCTCAATTGATTCCCCACCTACATTGCCGTATGAGTATGCTTTTTCCTGAAAAAGAAAAAGGACAACACACCATCACTGTATTAACATACTAACATTTTTACAGTTTCTGTATAACAATAAACCATTCTAGTCAATGTCATTTGTAATCAAATTTGTCAAACATCTACAGGAAAAATTCTGACCTAAATCAAATCTATTGTATCACATATTATGTTTCTTGTACTCACAGCAGATAAGTATTACAGTACAGTACAGTCAGTTCTGCTATAACGCGATAGTTGTATTCTTGTAAAACATCGTGTTATAGAAATTCGCGTAATAGAAATAACAGGGCTTATGGAGAAAATAGGGTTAGGTGCAGATTACTACTCGAAATCGAAAAAAATTTAGTAGTTAGCCTAATACAAAGGATAGCACAGTCTAAATAAATGTTACATTCATATCTAATAATGAAATCATACAGTAAATGTAACACTTTACTTTGAAAAAATATGAATATAACTTGATGGGGGAGAAGGGTGATTTTGAGGTTGATAACATCGAGCTTCTGGTTTTAACACCTAATGCTATCACCAGAACGCTTGGAGATATTCTTTTTTACCATATTCACAGTTAATACCACAAAATTGGAGAAATAGTAAGCAAAACGTTTACAGCAACAAGAGTTCGTTATACAAATATCGTCTTCATTCATAAATCGCGTTAGAGCCAATTCGCTGTGTCAAACACGCCAGATAGCAGAACTCATCATAAATGATATATTTGCAGTAACGCAACTGTTCTTTAGTGAACATAAATTTGTATCAACACCACAATATTACAACACAACTTACATCATGCTTGTTTTCACCATGTGCATGTTCCTCCAGAAGGGGATTAGGAGGTAAAGGCACATCACTATCCACAGGAAGATTATGAGTAATGTGAGGAAAAGTTTCATATCCACATCCACCCATTTCTGAGCCTTGTTCTCGGTCAGTGTAATACATCAAGTAGAGATTACACATTTCATCTCCTGAGGTGCTGCCTGTATAAACAAAGTAAAACAAAACATTAAAATGAACTTTAAAGAACATACCAGACCAAGAAAGAGAATTTGAATATGAAGTTGTTTCTAAAAGAATAACATACAGAAGGTGAAGCTGTGAATGACATTACAGTACAGTCGGCCCTTAACATACAAGAAAACAGAGATACCCGTGAATGTTAAGAATCTGCATATTTGCTGCCCCCACCCTAAAAACACCCTGTCCTATCACTGATACCTGTGAGTAGTGAAGACCAAATTAAAAAATTGGGGTTGACCTCAAACGGGTAATAGTTTCAAGAGGTTGAAAAATATTTACCAGTAACTACCAGTAAACAATAAACACGCACCACCAGCTGTGAGGTACAGTTGCCAGGCAGATCTCTTGCCATCATGGCAAGCCCAAAGTACCCAAATGCATGTCATGGTAGCACAGGACGATGTAAAACATAGAGTATTCATTTTTAAAGTTTATTTATAGATACATAAATTTTTGTCCATTACATTTGAAACAGCAATCTTTTGTTAATTAAATTTGAAACAAAGAAAACTACGATACCGTATTTCTAAAACCGGTATTTTTATTAAAATATTACATCACAAGTATAACCATAACTGTGACTGAATGAATATATTCTCAGAAATAAATATGGAAATGTAATACTACGACAAGGAAACGGATAAAATCATGACGAAAACAATGACTTTCGCTTTTCGTTGTTCAAAAGATTTTACCTAATCGCTAATGGTTTTCAGTTAAATAACTGTTGTATTCAATAATATTCTATCCTAATTACTTGAATAAATACTACGATACCATATTTCTGAATATTTTCATTAAAATCCATCAAAATCATTTTCCTTGTCATTGTCTTCAGCACCAAACAGCTCCCAGTCTTCTCCTAGAACAGGGCAGCGGTACGTGTTTTTTTAATCATTTTCAGTTAAAAAACTGTTACATCACAAGTATATTTTACCTAAACTGCGCCTGAATGAATATATTCTAAAATAAATAGTAGTTTTGGTGAAACGTGATGTATTTTAATGTAAAATAGGATAAAATACATGGCGAAAACAAAAGACTTTACCTAGCCATGTTCAAGAGATGTTACTGCTTTTTTAATAGTTAAGGAAATACTGTTATATTACAATGATATTCTATTCATACGCTTGATATCATCGAAAATAATATTTTTGCTGAAATGACGACGATTACAGATATCGTCAATGGTTTTCAGTTAAAAACCTATTGCATCATGAATTAGGATAGAATATTATTGTAATACAGTGTACAACAGTTTTGAATCAGAAAACCATTCAAAAAGCGATTACGGTAACATCTTTTGAATGAGAAAGCGAAACATTGCTTTCGCCACTTTCTCTGTAATACGTCGTCATTTCAGCAAATATTACATTTCCATATTCTCAGAAATAAATAGTATTTGCTGAAACGTAATGTATTTCAATGTAAATTAGGATAAACTACATGAAAACAGATTTTACCTAACCTTCAGATGTTTAAATATATGTTACTTGTTTTTAATAGTTTTCGAGTAAATACTGTTATATTAGTGATATTCTCTTCATACTATTTTTGCATTTACAATGCTGATGTCAACACAAGCATGGTTACAGGATTAACTGACTGAGGAGTGAGGGGACTGGGTAGTGTATAAGGCATGCAGTGTGTGTGTGTGTATTTGAATAATATATATTCTGAATGTATATTCCAGCGTAACCGCGTGATTTGCAAATCCGTGTAAGTTAAACTCGCGTACAGTATGTTAAGGGCCGCATGTATAGTACTTCTCAATTTGTTTGACTCTTTTAGTGAATATCTGATGACTTTTTTATGGATTACCTTTTTTCCATCATGTGTAAAAAAAAAAAAAAAAAAAAAAGGCACCTTCACATTTCTGATCACCATATAATTTCTATCCCAGTCTGACATCCATCAGTTCGAAAGGTCAGCTATTCCATAAGAATTCATTACGGTTCATTGTAAATAACTGAATTAGGAAGAGGCAGACAGTAAAAATAAGACTAAAAAAGGTAAAATGATAAGACTGAAAGTGTCCTCATTACTTTCTAAGTTTCTCATTTATCTTGAAGAAGGAAAAACCTTAATGCACATAAAAAAGCAAATAATACCTATAAATGTATGACGGTTCCGGGTTGTTGAGTTCCAGGTACAGCGAGCATGAAGTATGTCACTGGTTCTTATATGATGTATGTCATGCATTGGGTAGAATGCTTGTGGCCAGTGTGGGTTACCCTTTGCTATTTCTGTATATTCTTTTGTCTGGAAAAAAAAACATCAAAAAATATAATACAATTTATTAAGTTGAAAACAGAATCCTACCACACATACTAAAGCAAATATTATTTTAAAATTTTAACCAAAAAGTAAACATTAAACTCTATTTTTCCTCTCATGGAAGCCTTTTGGCACAGGGTGGCCAGTATAAGATGACCAGAAGCAACACCAGTAAATAAAAAATGTAATGACTATAATACAAAATTTTAATTAAGAATCTTCTCTCTTTTTTTCTTTCAAGCCTTTTTTCACAATAAGATAAGAGTGGCCAGCACAAGGTGGTTGATTCAAGAGTAAACAGACATTTTCCTTTCGTTTGCTATAAAAAATGTGCTCATGTGGTACTACTTTACCACAACAAGGACCTACATATCCACCTGGTTTACCCTTGTTGCTTTAAAAAACTCAACATTACTCTACCACCATCTTGTATTATGTCTTATTTCCTCTAGGACTTGAGATTAAGGGCCCATAAGAAGATTCTCTAAAATGTTTCAGCCAATGGCCACCTCTACACCCTCAAGTGTTAAGTGTACTGCAGTGTACTGTATTGCATATACTGAAAAATTCTATGTGTGTGTGAGTGCATGTGTACATATACAGTAATGTATATGAGTACTGTATGTTCATGTATATGCAAGTATGAATATACAAATGTCATCTCTACTAAATTCAACTCTTACCTCTGGATCAAACAAATATCCTGAGATGACGGTCCCCAAGTCGTAAGCATGAACACGATATGCAAACAGATATATATCTTTAGGCTCACCAGAGTTTCCAATCATGCAGTTCATATCAGCATGTGTTTCTGAAAATAAAAAAATTTCAATTTATTCTTGACTAATACTGTAATGGATAATTTCCTTATTCAGATAAAGTATATACAGTAAAATACATTAATAACAAATGAACAGACATTCTTTAAGGTTCAGTATGAAATGGTATCTACTTATTAAAAATAATTGAATAATAATAATAATACAGTAATACCACGATTTACGCTGGTTTTACGCGATTCTACATTTACGTACCGCCAGAACCGGAATTTCATTTTACGCGGTGCATCTACTCATATACGCGGGTGAAGTATAATTTTTTTATTTAGCTCATAAAAGGAAAATACAAATCTTTGTTTCAAACCCCATATGAGGAAGACTAAAGCCAGTCAGGTCCTGAATGTACCCCAATACAATGCATTATCTATATGGACCACTATACTGTGTCACTCATATCATGACTGACTATTATATGACCTTCATAGTAATGGACTAGTAAAATAAACTCTAGTATTTAAGGTCCTGTAATGTGAAATGTTACTACTGTATATAAAAAATCTGTTTGTTCTTTAGAATAAAACTTTCCTTATACTACAGTATTGACTTACTTTCAGTGTGTGGCGGGATATCAATATTACCAGCTGCCAGTAAGTATATCCCAGCTTTGTACTTTTGTCTGAAAAGGTAGACACTTAATTAAAAGTTGAATTATCTTGACACACAGTTGATCCATCAAGATCTACCTTAATAAACTACACAACTATATTGCCAAAAGATTTAGTTAACTCTAAAGGTAAAACCAATAACAAAAGTCTAACAAAAAATATCATACAATTCTCCAAAATGTATATTTTTAATATTATATGAATGAAAGAAAAATCAAGATAGGCTATCAACTTCCTCACACATTTAAAAAATTCAACCTTTTAGTTTATTAAAATTCTCATAAATTAAAACCATAATTCACTGTACAAGAGCCACAATTGTAGCAGAACCACTTGCAGAAACTAAAAATGGAAGAATATTGTATAAAAATAAATTTTGGGAGCAGAGACTGTTCAGCCAAATCAACTTAAGGAGCAGTCTCAACGTATTTATCTTTCAAAATTAAGCATTCAGTACAGAGATTCATATGCTGCCAACCAGATGACACAATGTCCCTGTTGCCATCATGCAACTCTGAAGGCAAGTTTTACAGCTGGATGTTCTGCCTATCACCAAACCACTTTTGCAGTGGGAACTGATCTTTATATGTAGAACTTCCAAATGGCCTCTTACCTGGTAACTCAGTATTCATGAATAAGGATAATGTACTAAATCTTACATTAAAAGAGGTTAACCTGATGAAGATAAGAAATTTGTACTGCCACAAGGAATATATTGAAGGATCAGAGTTTGCATGGCCTGTATAGTGGAGAAAAAAGCCAACAGATGCTATAGCAGTGTGAGGAACATGTGCAGGAAAATGTCTGATGCCCGTTTAGTCCTCTCACAATGACATGAATTATTCCTCTTTTCTTTTATTATCTATCAAAATCCACATTCAAGCCGAGTTTTTCCAAGATACATACAAAAGGTATGTTTTCTAGAACAGGAGAATTGGGTAAAAAATAAATAAACACCATTAGCTCTACTACAAAACTGAAGTACTGTACTACAACTAATTCTCCTAAAAGATTTTAAGATAATCTTCTTAATCCCTGTGATACTTACTGTTGCTCTGTAAGCTCCATTTGTAGGCCAGAATGGTCAGCCACACCATCTGGTAATGGCTTTGCATAATGGATTTGAAGTGTTGAAAATCGTATTCCTGTTTTCCCACCAATGTGAAAGCCAACCCCTTTAGGTAGAACTGTGGATGGTGCATTCTTAGCCCATGCATACATTATTCTGCTTCCTTCACATACACCATGGGCCACAGTCCCTACATAAAAATAAATTAATTATATTATACCATTCTTGGAATAATCAATGTTGTATGTATGTTGAACCATGTTTGGTATATATCTTTAAAATATTGATTACAATTTTTCAAGCAATTTATATACAATATTTGAAAAAGTATATTAACAATTCTGAATATAATTACAGTATGCCTGTACAGTAATTCTTTTTATACCGAAAAGTAGAAGGAACTTAAAATTAATAGAAAGCAGCTTTACCAGTAGCCATCCCTCATATTTTGGGGAACGTCTGAGCAGCCAAACAACAGCATGTGGTGGGCCCTGTTGGCTGAGGCTAGAGGGTCAAACTTAACTACCCTCCCTCTAGATTCTCATTCAGTTCCACTGCCGTACACAAGTAAGCATCTGCCTGAGGAAATAATAATACCCTGTACTGTATTAACATTAAATCTCAAATATAGTTTAAAAACTATGAAAAAATGAGAGAGAGAGAGAGAAGAGAGAGAGAGCATGCGTGCGTGTTTGTTTTACTGCAATATTTCCGAGTTTTTGTTAATTTATAATATATATACAGTACCTGTATATACAGGGTATATATACAGTCATGCGCTTGTTAACGTCCTAGATACGTTCTTGGAAACGTGACGTTAACGAAATGGGCGATAATCGATCATCACATAAACTTTTAAACTTTTTATTTATACTATGGGGTGTGGAATACTATACGACATACACTTTTACTCTAAATCACTACTGTAATGATACAGGTGATTAATTTTTATCTCTTGTGCAAAAAATACATGACGTTTATATTAAATTATTCACTGTTTACAAGGATTCCAGCAACGCCGAGAGGGGTGGGAGAGCGAAAGGGCGGGGGGGAGGGGGAGGCAGCATTGCTTGGACAGCTGGCAAGTACGGCCCAGGTCTAACGATGTGTATTTATATCAGTTCTTAGGTGATTGCTTTCATAAAAAAGCCAGTGAAATGACTCTGGTGAATAAAATTAACATAGCTGGGATTCTTGTAACATACTGATTAATTTGAATATAAATATGCTATAATTTGCAATTTCAGACAAAACAATTTTATACCGCAATCAAATTAGTACATGTGCACTGGGGCTTTGCACTAAGGTCATTTATTTCTATTACTGCTTTTAGTACATGGTGTGTGTGCATGTAAATGGGATGAAAATAAATGAAGAAATCTATGTAATCTACCCAAAAATAAGGAAGTTGAAAACTTTTTATAAATGTACTACAGCATTGCATACACTAATGTACAAAATTTTTATCTCTTGAGCAAATATATGATGTTTATATTCAAATTATTGCCTGCAAGGATTCCAGTAATGTAAATTATAATTTCCTAAATCTTAGTCTTGAGATATTATATGTTAAAACCGTGTTTTAAAAAGCCAGGATGGGAGGGAGGGAGAGAGGAGGGAGGGAGGAGGGAGGAGGGACTGACGGAGCCAGCCACGCCTACCTGTGCCGAGGGGTTGGGGGGTGGTTGAGGTGATAAGTTTGGAGGCTAAGGTCTCTGTGTGTTTATTTAATGGTGACCTACTAAGCTTCTCTTTCATTTTTAAATGCCAGGATATGACCTAGGAGAATATAATTAATATAGCTGATTCTTGTAAGATACTGATTTATTTGAATATAAACATGTTGTAATTGCACTAGACATAACAATTTTAGTACCGTAATCAAATTAGTACATGTGCAATCTAGCTTTGCACTAAGGCTTATTATTTTAGATGCTTTTTAGTTTGGTGTGTATGTAATGGATGAAAATAAATGAAGAAATTTATGTAAATCTACCCAAAATACAGTTGAAAACTTATAAAATGTACTACAGTATTTTGTACACTAATGTACTACATTTTTTATATCTTGAGCAAAATATAGACGATATATTAAACACCCTTGTCTTGGTGAAGGGACTTCAGCAAATTATATTATCCCAACTTTAGTCTGAGATATTATATAAAATAAACATAAAGAAATCACCACCTTTTGTCTGGGAGGAGGGGGCGTGAGGTGAGGTGAGGAATTGCCCATGCTTGTTTGTTTGTTTGTTTATTTATTTATTTATTTATTTGAGATAAGATTTGACAGTTGGCGCTTGAAGGTCTGCTCCGCGTGTTTATTTATCATTACTTAAGAGTGACTAAGCTCTTCTCATATAATTTCACACCCAAACTAATTCGGGTGAATATAACTTACATTGGAGGGATTCTTTTGTAAGGTAAAATTTATTTAATACCTGTAAAGAAGTCATATTTGGTAAGACACATAGCATTTTAGCACGTAATCATTTAGTACATGTACACAGGTTTGCACGAGGTCCATTGTTACTGCAATAATATTGACTAAATTCACTAGATAACGCATTTGCAGCATTAATCTATAAGAATACGCGATGCATACGTGATTGTGCCCGCTTAGGGCTATTCAGGTTCTTCTAGGTCCTATTATTAAAAAGCTAATTTAAATTTTAATTGTTTATTCCTTGATAAAGGAAACGGGATCCTAGTGTTGTCACTTGGTACCCTAAAATTAAGGGTATCATCTAAATAACTGGCCAGTGGCCATGTATATACAGTACAGTACAGTCATCCCTTGGTTATAGTGCCTAATTGGGACCCCGCCAATAACGGAAAGTACAGAACCTAGATTTATTTGATTGGTTCTAGGCACCCAAGACCCAACCCCAAGTTTCCCCATTTACCACCATGTATACCACTAACAGTTAATATATATATAAAATATCATAAACACACATAGGTATGGCTAGGTTTATTGAAGCAAAGTGATGAAAAAGGATACACTTAATACTGTAGTCCACAAACATGTTGCTATGTTTTTTTATTTGGTCCCCACATAATTTAGCCCTGCTTTTCTCTCACATCAGACACCTGAGTCCTCCTCCTTTCTCTAATCTTAGAGTGCACCAGAGACTTCACTATACTTAGTAATGCTGCTAATAGAATTTGAAATTGCAACCCCAATTGCAACTGGGGTTGCAATTGTTGAGGCAACTAGATAATGTCTGATTACAGCAAATGTGTTATTGTCAATTTGTAGGTGAAAGGATTTATCCTCAATAGATGTAGGTTAACACACTTGGAGGAAATGTTAAATAGCCTAATCAAGGAAGCATCTTCCTTTAACACATAATATCTGACCAGTATGGGGAAGATCACTTGTTCTGCCAGAGGGTGGTGGAGTGGTGGTCCAGCAGGCGTCAAGATTTATTTTATTTATTTATTTATTTTTATTTTTTGGGGGAGCCACGGACGATTATCGTCGGACATTGTTTGGTCGACGTTACCAAGATGACTGTATGTGTGTATATATATATATATATATATATATATATATATATATATATATATATATATATATATATATATATATATATATATATATATATATATATATATATATATATATATATATATATATATATATATATAATATATATATATATATATATATATATATATATATATATATATATATATATATATATATATATATATATATATATATATATATATATATATATATATATATATATATATATATATATGTATAGTGTAGTGCTGGAGTTATTACAGATTTAATGGAAAAGTTGAGAGACTGAATGAGCTGCATAAATCAGAAATGATGAGTAATGCAGACCAGAGTAAGGAGTCCAGTATTCTGATAAGAAATATGGGCAGAAGGACTGACAATGGAGAGGCTAGCTACAATTATACCCCACAGTACTGCACAAAATAGTGAATGGAAATGCATATCAAATACAACACTCAATGCTGCACAATTGCACATACCTCAAAGGAAGGCAGGAAATGAGATGGATAATCCACAATATATCTGGTTTGTATGTTATTTTTCTTCCTCTAACAAATTGTAAACTAGATGAAAAACAAATTTACAGAAACAAGATCATGTATAAAAAACTGCCTGGCCCTGACAAATTAGAAACCCTCAAATGACTCACACAGACAGTACCTAGCAAGACTGTCACCACATCTCAAATCATAGGGATAGAAAGGTAAGCCATTGGTTTTCTAAGGATTCCTATAATAACTAATGCAACCACCTAAAAAACATCGACAAAGTATACCTAGATTTTGCCAAGGCTTTCAAAAGCGTGTCCCCTGAAAGGCTGAGAATTAAACTGGAAGGGTACGGGATTTTAGGAAGTGTTGTTGCATGGATCGGAAACTTTCTGCATGATCGCAAGCAGTGTGTGGTGATGAATGGTACAAAATCATCAGTGTACCCATGACAAGTGGGGTATCACAGGGCAGTGTATAGGACCCATTGTTGTTTGTTGGTTTCGTAAATGACATGCCTGACGTTGTACACTTGCCTGACGCCAAGTTATTCCGGGAAAGTAAGAACCAAACAGACTGTGAAGAGCTGCAGAAAGATCTCTGTGAGCCTCAAGAATGGTCGAGGAAATGGCTGCTAAGATTCAATGTCACGAAATGTAAGAGGATGCACCTGGGATGTACCAATGGTAAAGAGGCATACCATGTGTCCCAACAGGACGAAGAAACTGCATTAATAAACACTAAATAAGAAAAGGACCTGGGTGTGTATGTCGACAAGGAACTTAAGTTCTCGGGCCATTGTGAGAAGGTGAATCAAGCAACTAAATCATTAGGTCATATAAGAAGGTCATTCAGATATCTAGACGGTCCATCCCTTATAACGATCTTCAAGAGTGAGGTACTTCCCAGCCTGGAGTACTGTCACCCCGTCTGGTCCCCGAGATGTGCCAGGGACTGTCAATTGATTGAAAATGTCCAAAGGAGGGCCACCAGACTGGTGCCTGCACTTCGGCACCTAAGCTATCTAGAGAGATTAGAGTGCCTGCAACTGCCTAGCTTACACTACAGACAGGCAAGGAGGGACCTAATTGATGTGCATAAACATCTCAAAGGGCACTACTCAGTCGAGTGTCCATACCTGGAGCTGGCTGACACCCGCCCCACAAGGGGTCACAACTCGAGAAAACTCCAGAAAACTGTGAGGGCAAACTTTTTCGGAGTGAGAGTTGTGATCTCTTGGAACAATCTGTCGGAGAGTGTTGTGACGGCACCGAGTGTGAGCTGTTTCAAGACCAGACTTGACATGCACTGGAACAGGTTCAGATACATTCAGGGGCCAGTAGATGCCCAGTACTTGCCAACGGTGTGTAACAGAGACGTGACCGACCGCCCAAGCAACTAACGAGCCTATCAGTGGCGAAGAGGTAAAGAGTAAAAGTAGCTAGTTTAGTTACTGAAGGAAGCTGAAAGGGATTTCGTAATGAGTCAGAGGTGGATTTTTCAGAATTGTAAAGTACATACACAAAGAAAAATGAGAATAGCATTGGCAACTTATAGAGCTGAATAATGTGAATAAATGGATGGAAGAGAAAACTGGAGAGAATGTACAAGAGTGATGTTAGCAAGAAGAGGTATTCTACTGTGGAATACTGTATTGATAACCAGATGAGACACCAAAGGGGGGATAAATGAGTATATGAACAGTATCCCAATACTGTACTGTACAATGATATCCCTGTTAGCCGGAACAATTGGTGCAGAGCACTTCCAGGAATGAGAGATCTCTGGGTATCGAGACGACTCTCTCAAAGCCGGAAAAAATCCCTCATCCCCGGAATTTTCCGGGGAATGAAAAAATTTTCTCGGAAGTTCCAGAAATTGCCCATTACATCATCTCTCGAACCCGGAAAAATATCCCTCATCCCCGGAATTTTCCAAAATTTTCCAGGTAACGGAAAATTTTTCTCGGAATTTCCAGAAAATGCGCCTGATTTTCATCTCTCAAATCCGGAAAGAAATCCCCATCCCCGGAATTTTCCAGGAAACGGAAAAATTTTCTCTGAATTTTCCGAAAAATGTGCCCAGAGAAAATTTAAATTCCGGCTATCGGAGATAGTACTGTACTGTACTGTACTGTACTGTTCTACTGTACTGTACTCTACTCAACTGTACTGTACCTTTACAAGAAATTGACAAGAGGTGAATAAAGTCTACAAGAGGGTTGTAAATGTTCTCCTATACAGCAGAATTAGGGATACTAAGTACTGTATAGCAGTCACGTACAGATAAAGGAAAAGATCTTTTATTAAATACTTCATGAAAGAGCATAACAAGCTCAATTTATTCCAAGTCTCTGGTATACTGTACATTAAACAGCTACAAGTGGAATAGAAAAAGTAACACAAATACCGGTATTAAAATTTCTTAAAATAAAAACTTAGCATCAATAAGAGCTACAGTATAAAATACAACATCATCATTGTTATAGTATAAAAATACTGCCTACCTCTTTGGGAGTAACCCCAGGCATGGTAAAGTTTCTCTTATATGTAAAAGTTGAAGGTTCTCCTCGCCGTATGAAGTTGTGACCAAACGCCTGAGGAAGAGTTAGCAAGACTGCCAACACTGTCCCTAGGCGAGTGACCATCGCTATAGCTGTTTTCTGCATCCTCGTTACCTCTTCACTATTGTTTACGTAGCTACAAACTGTAATAAAAAATAATAAAAATAATACAGTGTACTGGTATCTTGGCAAAAATCATTCACAGAATTAAATGATAATTTTTTTTCATGCTTGATAACTAGTTATTACAACATAGCATCAACATTACAGTACTGTACATCACTGACTCTTGCAATACATCAACTTACTCAGTAAATCTGACTTTCCTTAAATCACAGATACTGTACAGTATACTACAGCAATAAGGATGAGTTGTGAATTTAAAAAAATATAAATCTTCACTCATTACTGTACATGTTCTGGGTACTAAGTTCTACCTACAGGAGCAAACACAAACACCTGTAGAGTTCTTTGTAGGTTCTATTTGCTGGACATGCAGAGATACAAGCAAGACGGCACTCCGTACTCTGACTAAGTGTCAACTGAGCCCTCAGGCGACATGTGGCAAGTGATACATGTAGCAGCTTCCAGATGTTGCCAGGCACATTTACTAAGCGTGTGGGACATGATGAATGCATTGCCACACGCTACTGGCTTGGCTAAATAAATACTATATATGAATGGAATACATACATACATAATATACATACAATTACCACATGCAGAAGGAAGGAATCACTTCAAAACTTATGGCACTCTGCTGAGGAAGGTTCAACCATACACAGCCTCATTCTACAGTTTCTGGAACAGTTCACTGTCCTATGATGAAAATACATCTGATCTGGATATAAGCATCTGATGGTTTTGTTGGCTATCCTTGGTCAAATTGTCTCACTGTTTATTATTGGAAGTCTACTTATCCTTGTTTAGCATTCATGTGAGGTAAATTATCCCCAGTTTCTCCCACTGGTGGAATTAGGTGTCTGTATGTGCACAGAATAACAATTATAACCAGATACAAATTAACCAGACCTAACTTAACCAAACTCTGTCTAACAGGCATAGGTTTTGTTTGATTAATATGTATTTCTATCACACTATACAGTACAGTAGTTGGCTATATATACATACTATGGACATATCTTCACTTTGAGTATACTGTATGTTGTGAGACAAAAATGCTGTATACAGCTATTGTATTGGGAAGGCCCAATATTATAAGTATAGCACAGTACTGTACAGTATTTGTTGGATTAGAGTACTGTACTTATTTTTAAGTTAGAACTGGACACTTACCTAGTCTGAATATGATAATGTGCCATGTATGTGCCAAGCAATTTCAGGAGTGTTAAGTTTCCTGCAATGATTGTCAGACTGCAGCAGACAAGAATTATGGCACGCCAAATACTGTACTGTACAGTCTCATCCAAATGTTCTTTAACTCTCCCAGACAGCTAATGCTGAACTGCCTGCTTCAGATGTTTGAAACTGTCTCAGTACCAACCAGAACATGAAACCGATACGAATGAATCTAAAGGTTCGAAGAAACAGACTCTCAAACATCTGAAGCAGACAGTGCAGCAATAGCTGGCTGGGAGAGTTAACAAACTTTTGGGTGAGACTGTACCACAAATCTTTCTTCTTTTTTTTTCTAAATTAACTTTTCTAAGAAAATAACATTGCTTCAGACTACAATATTATCGTATGAAAATGCAGTCCACTGAAGAAATTATCTTTCTTAATATGAAATTTATATAAAAAATCTGGTAAATCCAAGCATAGATCACAAGAAAATAATATTAAATGGGACTCAACAGGGCAGACATCCAATGTGTAAATCTACATTGGCTGCCACTAAATTCATGATGCAATAGCATCTCTCTCTCTCTCCCTAAAAATACTCTACAGTCAACCCTCGCTTTACGCGGTCCCACTTTATGCGTTTCCACGTTTACGCGGTACCCTGCCGAACACGGAATGCTCACTTTCCGCGGTGTGTGTACCCTTTTACGTGGAGAGCGGCGCGAGCAGGGCGCGCACAAGGTCGCCCAATCATCAAAACATTACCGAGTTCTTCACCCGCCACAGCCGGCCCAAGTCAGTGATAATGATAGTGAGGATATGGACTTATATGGACTTTGATGGGTTTGACAAAGAGGCCCTGCAAGCCTCTGTGGTGGATAGTGATACAATTGATACAAGGATACAGGTGAGGGCCAATAATCTGCCCTCTGCCTCGGAACCAACCCCCCATCCCCGTGTGCCCAGCCATCTTTTCTACTAATGTAAGTGTTAAAAAACCTAATATTATTGACATTTCTCTTAATTATTAATTGTGTGTGCATACCATCATAAAATTAAGAAGTTATTTTTACTACAACGTAGGTATTGTGCCTGAAAAAGTGGAGTTTGGGGGTCGGCCCGGTCTCTATTTCAATTAATCCCATATGTTATGTTGTTCACTTTACGCGTTTCTCACTTTACGCGGGCCGCCATGGGTTCAATTGACCGCGTAAAGTGAGGGTTCACTGTATACAGTAATATTTTTTAGGACGACATATTTGTTAAGTTTGTACACAAATGCAAATCTGGTTGGAGAAGAAGGGAGGAGGCAAAGAGAAAACCATTATATATTTTCTAAATTGTTTTAAGTCACAACACGAAACTCCACGGGCATATTAACAAATCTGGGTCAGGGAGGCTACAGCAAAGAATCATTTATGACAGGACACAACACCAGCAAACCTAGCCTGACATGTGTGAGTGTGTGTGTGTGAGTGTGTGTGTGAGTGTGTGTGTGTGAGTGTGAGTGTGTGTGTGTGTGTGTGTGTGTGTGTAATAATAATAATAATAATAATAATAATAATAATAATAATAATAATAATAATAATAATAATAATAATAATAATAATAATAATAATAAACGCCTTAGTTAAGGACGTTCAGGTGACGGGCAAGTTGAAGGGAATGATTGAAACCCGTCTTTTGATGCATTCAATATTTAATGATGTGGTCAAAACCTGCAGACAACAAGGCGTTCATTAGTACTACATGGTGATCTATCTGATACATAATTAGTTAGTCTCACACAATTTATCTTAATTATAATTGATTATTGAACATAATGACATGATTCAAAGTTCATAACTCTATTAATCTTAGCTACACTTCATTCCGCGTTGTCTTATTGCTCCAGATAAGGAAGGAACGAGTAGGCATAATTAGTCCACAATATTTCAGTACTGAGGGATATATCATCACTTTGGCTGTAATGTACTTACAAGTGCGGGTCAATGCGAACCAGTGTGGTGTTCCAAGGGAAGATAGTACTTTGTAAATTGTTCAAGTACAGAAGACTCGGCCAGGATTGGGAGTTGTTGTTCACCACTACTAGCTGGTCCTCACAGCATCACTTGAGGGGGCAGTCTACTGGAGTCCAGGCGGCCACGTCGTCTTTTAAACCATGCATTTCGCAGAATCAGGACCTCTTGTCTGTAAACACCGCCCACCCCCTAATCTTTGTTCGGGTAAGGCAGTAAGACGCCAGTACTTACACGCCAGCGCTGACACCAGCGGTGATAACACTCCCGGCAATGCAAGCGGCGATGACACTTCCGCCAGTGGCGATGACACTTCCGTGTGAAACACACCCCCCCACCCCCAGCCACATCTGTTGGTAACAGGTCGTGATTGGTTGGGTGGATGGGGGCACTCAAGAGGGTGATCTGCGTCATGCACCCTCTCAGCACTCACACCAGTGGTGATGACACTCCCGGTGGTAAACACCGCCCCCTCCCCCCTAGCCGCCACATCTGACGTGTTAACAGGCCGCGTGGGGGGAGGGGGGAGGTTGAGGCACGTGGTCGCAGGCTGAGATCTTATGTTTTGTTCGGGTAAGGCAGCAAAACGTCAGCACTGATACCAGTGATAAAGCCAGCGGCGATGATAATAATAATAATAATAATAATAATAATAATAATAATAATAATAATAATAATAATAATAATAATAACAATAATAATAATAATTAATAATAATAATAATAATAATATGGTTGACAATCCCTTTTCCGAAATCCTTGGGGCCAGTGGCATTTCGGATTTTGGAATTTTTCGGTTTTCAGAATTTATTTATTTTTTTTTTTTAGCCCACCCGGGCACAAGTCACTGACCCACATTGGGGCCTGGGGGGTCGAAAATATAATAATAATTATAATAATAATAATAATAATAATAATAATAATAATAATAATAATAATAATAATAATAATAATAATAATAATAATAATAATATATAATTCATAGGTCTAGGTCGTGTTTCTCACTTTTTATCTTTTTTCATTCTTGTATTTCTAAATTATTATTACAGTGACCCCTCATTTAACGAACGCCTCGGTTAACGAAATTTTGGTTAATGAACTGCCTTCCATAAGGATCTTCAATTCGGTTAACGAATTTCTTACGAACCGACCTCAACATGTTTTCGCTTGCACTGACCGGGCAACCAGCTTCAGTATCAGTCCGCCAATATATGAATCGGTTCTAGGGCTTAAATTCCTTACTATTTTAGTAAATATCAAGAAGTTTATACTATTCAATAATTTTAAAAGTTTAATATTCAATTTTTTAGTCATTCTAACAATTATTGAATATAATTGAAGGTAAAGTAACTAGTTTAATGCGCGGCATCCAGCCTCTTAACACACCAGACAGGCGTTAGTCTCTCTCTGTTTTCACTGGAGGTAACATCTTGCTTGAGACTCTCCAACTAAACGCTTTTTTCTGTGTTTCCAAGCAAATTATTGGTCATTTTGAAATATATTTTACATATTGACAATATATAATGCAGTGCAGTGTTGATTTAAAGAAAATAATCTTGAAATACACCAAGAGAACTAAAATTTTATGGGTGAAATGGTGCCATGGGGTGACTTCTCTTCTTCCTTCTCCTCCACCCCCATTCTAATTCCCATCATCATCATCCAGGAGCCTTCTACATACACACCTCAAAGTAAGTGAACTTTTCTACCATTTCTGTTGAATTTAGGAAATTTTCGGTGAGCTGGAACCAATTACCCAAAAACCCATTGAAACAATGGTTTCGGTTAACGAACTTTTCGGTTAACGAACAACCTTCTGGAACG